CTAAAAGTTGACATAGTAACCTAGATTTTAAGGAAGCGTGACCAAGTTTAGACCGTAAAGTGATCTTGAGTACCCACTATACACTGCCAGGTAATGTATCATAACATTTTTATGTTCAATCAATAAAGTTTTAGATTTTAGCCCGCTGACCCGCCAGCCCGCCCAGTTCACACTGCTAGCCCACTACACTGCTAGCCCGCCCACTTCACGCTGCCAGGTAATGTATCATAACATTTTTATGTTCAATCAATAAAGTTTTAGATTTTAGCCCGCTGGCCCGCCAGCCCGCCCAGTTCACACTGCTAGCCCGCTACACTGCTAGCCCGCCCACTTCACGCTGCCAGGTAATGTATCATAACATTTTTATGTTCAATCAATAAAGTTTTAGATTTTAGCCCGCTGGCCCGCCAGCCCGCCCAGTTCACACTGCTAGCCCGCTACACTGCTAGCCCGCCCACTTCACACTGCCAGGTAATGTATCATAACGTTTTTATGTTCAATCAATAAAGTTTTAGATTTTAGCCCGCTGGCCCGCCAGCCCGCCCAGTTCACACTGCTAGCCCGCTACACTGTTAGCCCGCCCACTTCACGCTGCCACGGTAATGTATCATAACGTTTTTATGTTCAATCAATAAAGTTTTAGATTTTAGCCCGTTGGCCCGCCAGCCCGCCCAGTTCACACTGCTAGCCCGCTACACTGTCAGCCCGTCCAATTCACACTGCTAGGAAATGTATCATGAGGTTTTAATGTTCAATCAATAAAGTTTAAGATTTAAGCCCGCTGGCCCGCCAGCCCGCCCAGTTCACACTGCTAGCCCGCTACACTGTCAGCCCGTCCAATTCACACTGCTAGGAAATGTATCATGAGGTTTTAATGTTCAATCAATAAAGTTTTAGATTTTAGCCCGCTGGCCTGCTAGCCCGCCCAGTTCACACTGCTAGCCCGCTACACTGCTAGCCCGCCCACTTCACACTGCCAGGTAATGTATCATAACGTTTTTATGTGCAATCAATAAAGTTTTAGATTTTAGCCCGCTGGCCCGCCAGCCCGCCCAGTTCACACTGCTAGCCCGCTACACTGCTAGCCCGCCCACTTCACACTGCTAGGTAATGTATCATAACGTTTTTATGTTCAATCAATAAAGTTTTAGATTTTGGCCCGCTGGCCCGCCAGCCCGCCCAGTTCACACTGCTAGCCCGCTACACTGTTAGCCCGCCCACTTCACACTGCCAGGTAATGTATCATAACATTTTTATGTTCAATCAATAAAGTTTAAGATTTTAGCCCGCTGGCCCGCCAGCCCGCCCAGTTCACACTGCTAGCCCGCTACACTGCTAGCCCGCCCACTTCACACTGCTAGGTAATGTATCATAACGTTTTTATGTTCAATCAATAAAGTTTTAGATTTTAGCCCGCTGGCCCGCCAGCCCGCCCAGTTCACACTGCTAGCCCGCTACACTGTTAGCCCGCCCACTTCACACTGCCAGGTAATGTATCATAACATTTTTATGTTCAATCAATAAAGTTTTAGATTTTAGCCCGCTGGCCCGCCAGCCCGCCCAGTTCACACTGCTAGCCCGCTACACTGCTAGCCCGCCCACTTCACACTGCCAGGTAATGTATCATACTGTTTTTATGTTCAATCAATAAAGTTTTATATTTTGGCCCGCTGGCCCGCCAGCCCGCCCAGTTCACACTGCTAGCCTCCTACACTGCTAGCCCGCCCACTTCACACTGCCAGGTAATGTATCATAACGTTAATCAATAAAGTTTTAGATTTTAGCCCGCTGGCCCGCCAGCCCGCCCAGTTCACACTGCTAGCCCGCTACACTGTTAGCCCGCCCACTTCACACTGCCAGGTAATGTATCATAACATTTTTATGTTCAATCAATAAAGTTTTAGATTTTAGCCCGCTGGCCCGCCAGCCCGCCCAGTTCACACTGCTAGCCCGCTAGACTGCTAGCCCGCCCAGTTCACACTGTTAGCCCGCTAGACTGCTAGCCCGCTCAGTTCATACTGTCAGCCCGCTAGACTGCTAGCCCGTTAGCCCGCGTACTTCACGGACATAGAAAAGGCGGCGTTCAGTGAACGCAAACCCCACACCACCCAGCAACAAGAACCAGCGGTGATTTTTAAAATAAAATATTTCTTTTTTAAAACAAATCTTATACAATTGATCCCTGCATATATCAAATAACTGTGTTGCTTTCAAGGTTTTCGAAAGTGCATTCATTCATTCGATCTCTTTTTTCTTTATGTCCTTACGCTTTGTACTGTAAATCAAAGGACATAATGTCTACGGATATTTATAAATTAAAAAAAAATCACCATTTTTAATTTAAATATTGAGTACTACTTAAGCCGGTGATATGGTGCCACTTCAAGTACCGTCCATGTACATGCTCTCTCTGCAATATTTTCAAATTTACCGTTCTTAAATGTGTTGATATTTACTATTATGACAATGAAATAACTTAAAAGCGTAGAAATGCATAAAATTTCAAAAAAACTATTTTTTAAAAGTTTGCCAAATTAATTTCTGCTTTGAATTTTGCTGTCATATTATCGTTGCTGTAAAATGTATCAAATAACAAATTTGCTTTAAAGAATGTCAAATATTTAAAGGATTTTAAAAATGCAACAAATTACACAGTTTATAAAATAACAGTGCTGATAGAAGGTTTATCGAATTACATTGATGAGTTTGAGTCTCAAATGTTACCTAAACTATTAAACAAAGTAACATACAAATATTATTGTTGCTAAGGAGGCTAAGAGTTGACTTCATTGCTTTGAAGAGTTTCAGACATGTAATCGATGCTTTGATGCGTTTCCAGAAACAGGCATTCTACGAAAGTCATCAAATGATAATTTTGCTTTGAAGTTTATAACATTAAAACGAGCATATTAATGCTGTATATAATATATAATGAGGTTTTTGAAATGTCTCAGTCCTTTAGGAAGATGAATTGCTGATAATGCATAAACAATTAAAGAGCCATCCGGTATGTTTCATGGAATAGCGAATAAAATGTGTCTGCTACCACAAGTGGGGTAAATAAATTCCGATTAATCAGTACGGGGCTCTATCCACCAAGCACGAGGAAGTCATGAAGTTTATTACACTAGTGGGGGACACTCCATAACCTGTGCATTATTTATTGTTTTGTCAAATAATAGATGGCCATAATAAAACACTACATGTTTTGTTGTAAAATAATAAATTGCTAAACCTTGTGGTAGTAAATTATTACAATATTCAGGACCACATGCTACGCTAATAAATAAGTAAAAATATTATGCTTGTTAATTCACTTTTTATCTTCAGTGACTTAGATCTGAATGGGATCTATTGAAATGATATACAATATACTCTAGAAGAAGATAGCACATCAAATCATACAAACACATATATTTCATATACAAATAGGTCAATTCAATAAGGATAAGAAATTATCTAAAGGGAAAGTCCCCTGGACTGACCTATTTTTTAAGTTAATAAAACGTCTAATTTATAGCATAAACTCTTTATACACCTGCACCCAACAGCTTTTGATAAAAATCACGAACAATGAATTCCATTTTACTACATGAATTTGCATTATAAATATCGATTACAAATTAATCAGTATATCATAGAAACTGTTAACAATTTTACTGATTAATTGCCATTAAAGATAATTTATCGTTATAACAGTGCGTTAAGATGAGACAGTAATGTATGCAAATAATGCAAAATGACATCCCAAAAGTAATATATAAGATGACTGTTGCAACAGCGGCATATTTTTCAAGATTTTCTACGAACAGATTATATGAATATATCTAAGAAGTGTCTATGATATACAACGCTATTACTGTAATATTATTCCGAGTACGAATGCTAATAATCTGTTTAATATTTATAAGAATACATGGAACAATACTGTATTATTATATTACAATAATCTCTTTTCATATTCATGAAAGTTTGGTGGTTTCAAAGCAGACATTTTGCATAAATATTCATCTATTCGGTTTAAATTAATAAATTCATTTTGGAAAATATGTAGCCTCTCATTATGTGTTTAAATTAACATGATCATTTTTATATCGTTTAAAAAAAATAAATAAACACAATCTTACATACTGTATAGAAAACAGATTATTTTAGGCAATCAAAAGTAACATAAGAGTTAAAACAAGGCGACCGAGCAAATGGAAATGATTCTGGTTCAATAACAACAAAACAACCAAAAATGATTTACTATATTGATGAATAGTTGGAAATGCTGCATTAAATTTTGATGGTATTAAACATTAAGTTATCACGTTTGTTTTTTCTACCTTATCGTTATAGGTAAATGCACTACATGTACTTCAGATTTGTACAAAAAGAGTCTAAAGTGAGCATAAGCCATGATTCGAACACAACAATTCATGGTGAGTACTTGTAAAAAAAATCTATCATTATTGTATAATTTATAATTCAAATGTGCCCAAATGGATACTTTCGAAAAAGATTGATTTATTATGATTATGTTATAACAGAACAGAACAAAACAAAACAAGTGATGACCTAAAATTCTGATTCATATAATAACAAATAAAAAGTACATTTATTATTAATAAATCCACATTAACCGGTCTGTTAAGATTTAGGTTAGGAGAACATGAAAAATATAATTGCGAAAGACCTCCATGACCCAGCCGTAACGACTTTACAACAACTCATTAATACCAACATGTAATTACAAAATTATTAACTGTTAAATGGCACGGTATTCAAAAAATAGCCCCATTGTATGATAACATTTCGTTCAAATATTTTAAATTTAATCTGTTAAATAAATTAGCATGAGTAAGGAATACATAAACACTTCGTATGTGCATGACAAGTTCAAGTGTGAAAAAAAACGGAAAAAAATAGAACAGATTCACAAATATCTTTAAATAAATGACAGTTAGCTAAGGCTTATCTACGAGGTAAAAATATACACGATAATGAATATCACTTACTCTCTCGGTGAACCAAGTCCTTTCGTTATATTAAACTAAAACATCAATGTTACACCGCATATCCTGCTGGATATTTATAATGTAAACTGCACCTTATAACGAGTAGTTACTTCAACATGCATTATTTCCTTTCAGTGTCCTAATAAATTATGCAATCCGAACATGTAACTTTATAATTGCTTATTAAGCCAGACGTAGATTTTTATAATTTTAAAATTGGTTTAACATAAGAAGTAGTCGCTTGTTTTATAAAGTTAAGTTTATTTTCCGCGTTAATATCCCCGACTAAACAAGACCTAAATAACGGTCCCTGACATCGCGCATGGTAGCCCCTTTTACGCAATATCTCAATTCATCTTTAAGTCATGAAAAGACTGCCTTTGTTTCCAAATGTTCACTTCAATTAGTGGCGTTTGCAAAAGATACCAAAGTTTATTCAAAACTGCAGTAAAAGACTTTGTTTGTTAGATATATTGTGCAAGTAACTAAATCGTATTAATCAACGAAGGATTTTCTTTATTGATAAAATCAACGTAATAAAACCCCCAAATGTTTCATTCTTGTACTGAATAGTGTAGAGTTTCTTCATTCTCTTCCAACCTTCGTTATAACATGAATGTCTTTCAATACCTTGTTATGTTCTTACAGAAAAAATGAATGGATTAGGTGACACACACGAAAGTATCATAGACATTATAAGGTTTGAAAGATAGAGACCTTCATATAAAATGACAACGTCCCTGTAGTCGAATACCTAAAATATTTTTCATAAAAATATCAACTTTAATTACTTCAGCCTTGTCTATTTCGTTTATGTATAAATGCTTTTTTATCTTTTCTCATTTTTTATATAAAGATGATTAATTACAAAAAAGATCATAATCTAAGGTGATGAAACACGTTAACCTAATACATACTAAAACATAATAATACTTTTATTACAAATATACAATAGGTCAAACGCACTTTTCTGAAGATTAAATTTTGGTTATACAGTGATAACCGGTGCCGGGGGGGGGGGGTGAGATGCGGCATATTTATATGTCTCTCACGAACAGAATCGATCAAACTGATTTTGCGATTATCACATATTGTTCCCTTTTCCCCAAGCGTTTTATCTTTACAAAATGTTGGATTATATCATACGTAGGTTTTAAATCTACATATTCTTTGGTTGCATCATTCCTTATGATTAAATCAATCAATCTGCAAATTTAGAAGTTTTAAAAATATATATAGGAGGCTTTTCGATATACACAGATTGATTTTACATCCCTATACATCCTAATCGCTTTATGGTGATATTTTGGACTATCTTCAAGGTTCTTATTCTAGCTATTTTGTGGTAAGTATGTAGTTATTAAATGTACAAATTTTATATAATTGCATTTTAGGTAGGAATGCTATGCCCAATAAAATGCAATTGATGTTAACATAAAAAGTAATACATTTTTAATATGAATTGCAAAAAATTATACGACGCATTCTTATAGGCAATCTATCGACAGATTTTAAATAATTTTATGCATATAATAGACAGCTAAAGAATTCAGCGTATGTTGTGAAGCAAATCATTATATTAACATATTATTAATCCAGTTTTTATCCCTTGATTTAAGGAAATGTCCTTCAACCAGATATCGACACAGCCAATAACAAGCATATCAATTTTCTTTTATTTTGAATCTTGCTAGCAAAAATTGTTCTGAAATTAACATACAAATCAATGAAATTATTTTTCATTGTAACATGTAATATTAACTGCACGAGCACAGCCACTTTATTGTCTACGATTTTCTTGTTTGTTCAATTTTACGAAGATTGATCAGGCTGAATATCATGTTTTCAAGAGATAATTTTTGTTAACAAAACGATGCTTGCTTTTGATCACATTAAATGGATTTAGGTACATTACGACAATTAAAGTCACATGTGGGCGTTTAAAATTATGATTGATTACTGATTATAGATTTATATTATGAAGTTAAATTATTTTTTTATTTCATTTACGAATGGTTTCGTTAATCAATACTCACTTGGAATGAAAACGATAACAAAAACATTATACGAGAACAATCGCTAAGAGAACTTATTCTATTTAAGATGTACGATTATTTGACAGAAATAAAAGGTATACTTGAAGTAAAAAAACTGGACCAGCTTTAACTGTCCCATCAAATAAATATCATGAAATGAAATAAAAACATAAAACATATACCGGTAGCTATAATGTAATCATCTACGTTTGACGTAGACAAACTTTTGTGTGAAAACATGTTATATATCAATGTTGTCTATAAATGTATCCAATTTGTGACATTTATTTACTCTAGCATTAGTTTTAACGAGTTATTTACTATACTAGTAGTTTCAGATACACATTCACATTTGTTTGTTTGTTTGTTTCATTTTACGCCTTTTCCCAACAGTATTTCAGTCATATAGGTGGGTACTTTCCTAACCATCGTTCCTGGAGAGTTACACCAGTACTAGGCTACCTTCCTCCGCGCTAAACTACCAAAGCATCTCCCGGGGATCGAACCCACGCCAGAGAGGTAACTGGATTAGAAGTCATCGACTCTAACCCCTCGACCACGGAGGTGGTTACACATTTACATAATTTTCATTTCAATAAGCTCGGATAAAAAAGACACTAATTTGGTAAAAACTTTTAAATTTGTTTTCAATTGTCGAGATCAGTAGTATTTTAAGTTATCAAGTACAGTCATTATATAAAATAATACTGCATCATAGCCAATTATCCTAAATAAGCACAACAAAGACCTCTTGTTAGAGAGTGAAAGATGTAAACTAACACAAAACCAACAACAAAATAAATGTCGCAGACTCGGTTTGGCTGAGTTTGTTCATGAACTCAGTGGTTAATGCGTTCTACCACCCCCGCCTTCTACATGTAACACCAGCTTTAGCAGATTTCAACAATGTAAAATGAGGTTCTATAATTAAATCTGGAATTATTCAAATTACAATAGTACAATTTTGTGATAAATCCGGCCACTACCTCACATTTGTATAAATATCATATACCTTCATTATATAAAATAATACTGTAAAATAAGGACAAGAGTCTTCTTGCTAGTAAGATAGTGAAAGTATAAACTAAGACAACAAAATCAGCAATGTTGTAGATTCCGTGGGCATCAGTGGTTAATATATTCTACCATTCCCACCTCCTAGCACCAGTTAATGCAAATTTCAACAACATAAAATGTGGTTTAATTATAAAGTCTTGAAACATTCGGACTCCAATTGTACTATTTTGTAATAATCCAGCCGCTACCTTTCATTTGTATAAATATCATATGAAGTATTAGTATTATCACCCATCCGAATCTTTTCTGTAAAGAAACAATTAATAGACCGAACTATTTTCAACTGCCATATCAGTTAGGTCATCAGTTAAATACTTTCCAATCAACATAGGAAGGTATAAATGTTGGATTATACTACAAATTAAGTGGTATCAACTTTAATTTTCTTGATACATGAAATAATGAAATCGGACCTTTCAGGTAAATTGCTCAAGATCGATTTGTGTATACATCTGTACAAATTTAAGACGGTGAAATGGAACATTTGGAGTTGAAACTCTGGAAGACCTTAAAGGGACTCCACTGAGGTTTTTTGACATGACGAAACTGGAAATATTTTTTTGAGATTAATGCTCAGTTTGATGTAGGTCTAGATCAGTAACTTGTGTGCAAAATCAAAAAATAGCACAAAAATACGCAATTCAGTTCAGTTTTTAGTATATTTCTGAATTATTTTTTGCATGTCTTCCTGTTTTACGTGCCCCAGCTGATCTGTGTAAAAGAATAATTTTATGATATTAGACTTTTGAACCTCAGTGGAGTTCCTTTAAATGGTTGCGTATTCACAGTTATGAAGCCAATGACAATTGTTAGACAAGTTACACAAAAGTATCCTAGTTTCAACACATTTTTCGCATCTTTATATTTTTTTTCAAAAATATTTATTTTCCCGATTTGTTATAATATTTGATATAGTACAAACTTCGATACATAATAAAAATACACTAAAAAGGAGAAGAATTTGACAAGACATAGTCTTCCGTTCCAATCATTTTCTTGAATATAAGAATGTTAGATTTGTTTTGTATATAGATATTCAGGGAAAATAAATAAATATGTTTAAGCTAATTAGACATTAGAACTCATGTACAAACTGTTTTAGGAAGTCAGTGGTAAAATATCTGGAAAAGGGGAGATCCCCGGAGAGAAATGAAGCACCAAGTAGTAAATGGCAATAGAAGCTCGGTTCGATTGAGTTGGTTTTTGAGAGCTAATGAAAAATGTAACATCTTTCATGCCCGCCCGTTTAGCAGAAGTCTAAGTAATTATATATCTTACATATAAAAGTATTGAAATCGTTGTTCAATAGTCTAAATGTTTAAACTTGGTAGGAAAGGAATATTTATATATATAAATTAGATACATTGAATGGCATTTTTTGACAGATTCCACATTGCACTCTACAACTGTTTTTATGAGCTGAGATTACTTGAAAGCAGTGGAAATAAAACAAATCAAAAAAGTAAAATGGCACATTTTGTTTGACCTAGCCTCTCTCTCGTCCTGGAACTGTCTTAAGTTGTATTCAAGCTTCAACATTCAAACTCTTGAAATTCAACATCTCGGATAAAGTGGATACAATCCACCATCCACGCTCACACAATAAAATATTTGATAATTTTGAATTTATGTCTGCGAAGCATTTCTAACAATTTTGAAAAGAAGAGATCTCTTCAGTCCATGTGTCACCTTCAAATGCATGTGCACAGCTATTCCGATATTATGCAAGTATGCATGTTGTTCTTTCAGTAGCCATACCATTTAAACGATGACATTCATCAGACAAAAATCAACTGACGAAATGAGAACAACATCCTGTTGTTTCAGGTGAAACAGTTTAACAATAATGTATGAATGAATTGAAAATAATGGTTTATTTACATTGTTTCATTTTAATTTTTATATTCATTAACATTTGGCTTTTATTTCGGCGAAATCAATATATCAAGCATTCGCGAGTTTTTCACCCTCAATGTCACTATTATTTCCTTCCTCAAGTATTTTGTTTGTCATTGTAATCAAACGAGATTATTTATTTTACCGCTGTAAGCAAAGGCACACACCGTTCACTTTTATGAGAGATGCAGTAACTAACGGTGAGCAGACGTCTATTTGACTGCTATTTATTGTACCTGTAAATTTATCGAGGCACAGAAGTTTGTTTATTGTACTTGTAACTTTATATCGTATTGATGCACAGAGGTTTGTTG